CTTCTAAAGAATAATATTCTTATCTCCTTGTATTATATAAATATAAGATACTGGTCTTTGTTGTGTGGATATTTTGTTTGCTGAATGGGGCAGAAACAGAGTATTTGTCTAAGGAACATTAATAAAACCAGCTTGAGAAGAAGCACACCCACACCCAAAAATGCTTGAGGAGAGAGACTGCCCTGAACACGAGAGAAAACTGGCCCTCAAGTAAGTATACTGAGATGACTTGTTTGAAAGCAGAGCACTGAGTTAAAGATGGATGCAGTGCATTGTGGTCCTTACCACAATTTACATATGATTATTTTCAGAATTTTGATGGATGCAGCTTATAAACTATGACTCAAACAACTATTTGGGGACTATGGGATGATTATAAAAGGCCTGTTGTGGTCACACCTGACAGAAATGTGGATTTAAACTTTTTCACATCATAAATTAGAAATGGAAGCCTTTTGATTAGAGGAATTAGCAGTCAGAGGAGGGTAGCAGATGATCAGATAAAGACAGAAGCAGGAGAAAGACACAGAAGGCAACAGAAATTGTTTTACAAAAGACAATACAGAAGCTGATGGGGACTGAGCTGACAGGCCGGCAGGCTCTGTTTTTTTGGAAGCCATGATGTTTGGAACAGAATTCTTTTGCTGAAGGTCGATCGGCTGGAGAACGGCTTGTCAGCCAACATAGCTGATTAAAGGTGAATAGGCTCTCTGTAGTTGTGAAAGCTGATTAGAATAAAGCAGGATCCTGTTATTTGAAGAGTTAAGATGTATTGCCATCTGGACCAATCTATTGCCTAAGGGGGAGGGCAAACTTCTCAGGGATGCCTGTTGTTGATCCTTACTGTCCAAGCAAGGAAAATGGGAAAGACAGGCTTGGTATCATTTTGAGCTATACTGATATATTTAATTTAAAAAGTATACTTTTTAATCACCCTGCCAAAAATGGCTGTGTGCTAAAAGAGCTCGATATCGTTTCAATGGACCAAGAGTAGCAGAGAAGCAGCTTTGTCCAACAGGAAATCTATGAGGACCAGAAGGGGAGCAGACAGCAAGCAGAGAAGTGCTTTGGTTTGGTTTTTCCTGCAGGTGACACGTTCTCTAAAGAGACTAAAGAGAGATACTATTTTCAAGAGAGACCAAAGACATCAAGGCCTGCCATCCAGAGTCAGGAGCTGACTGAAGCACGTGGTTTTTCTACTCGCGTGCCTTATTAGGTGCCTACTCCGTTCACACTATGCGTTGGGGTGCCCCAAGTTTACAGGTCTCTTTTGCATTGAAATTTGTCATGTTTTATAATACTGACACACCATCAATCGGTTTCAGATTCATCTCATAAGCCTTGTCATGATTTTTAAACTTCAGGGGTAGTTAGGTGGTACAACAGATAGAGCACCAGGCCTGAAATCAGGAGGGCCTGAGTTCAAATCTGGCCTTATACTTCCTGTGTAGGACTGGGCAAGTCACTTAACCCATTTACCTGTTTCCTCATCTGTAAAATGGGAATAATGGCACTTCCTAGGGTTGTTGTGATAAATAATATTTACAAAGCACTTAGCACTGTGCCTTGCTCACAGTAAATGCTATATGTTAACTATTATTTTATTTTGGATTAAAAAACATTTTTTTAAATAAAGTAACTATGTGAGAAACATGAGATACTACTCTCAATCTTTACTCTGCTCTCAAACTTAGTGAGCGCCTTACCTATGTTAGCTATCTATTTACCTTTTATAGTTTCTTTAGCCCACTGTTTTAGTTTCAGAGAACCTGCTCATCTCTGACTCTCAAGATTGGTAGTGACTGATTTTGTCTTTTTTGATGTCAGCACATTTTCAGTTTTACTTCCACTTTAGTGGAAGCCATTCTTCTTTGCTTTTCATCACATAATATTGCAGTCTTTCGTTTTCTTTGTTAAAAGAGTAGCCCTGCATGATTCAAACTGGCTTTCCATTTTAAGGGGATTGTTTTGGCATCACAACTTCAAAGGACTAACAGTGCAGCAGGCTTCCAACTTCCCAGCAGAGAGGCAGTGGAATAAGACATAACATCTTCAGATATGGCCCCTGTATGTGGGCAGTGACATTTCTGAGTGAAGTAAATTTGGAGTCCTACGGACGTTATCAAAATGGGTTGGGGCACCTAGGTGGCGCAGTGCTTAGAACACTGGCCCTGGGGCCAGGACAACCCAAGTTCAAATCCAGCCTCAGACACATAACACTCACTAGCTGTGCGAGTCTGGGCAAGTCATTTAACTCCAATTGCCTCACCAAAAAAACAAAACAAAACAAAAACCTAAGATCTAATCCCAATACTTTGGGGCAATCTTCTTGCCTGAAACATTAAGACTCTTTGTTTCATCGTACTTTGTGCAGGAGGCTGAAACACAGTTTCAGTTACATGGCAAATTTTGACATGGTCAATTTACAGTATAAGCAGGCATAGATTATTTGCAATCTACATAGCTGGAAGGAACGCGGACACTGATGAGATCACGAATCTATTTGGGCATCTGAGTTATCTCTAATTATAGATTACTTCTCAACTACTATGGGAATTCATTCCTTCTTTTATTCATTGCTTCTCAGCATTCCTTTACCTCATTTTTTCAGTGTAGTACAAGATTGTCTGTTTATTCCTTTCTTTGGACTCAGTTCTGGATTATCTGAAGGATTTTCCTTGTGATTTCTTTTCTATTTTTGTTGTTTCTTTACATTACTGGGTGTATTTTTTGCATTTTGAGATGATGCTGAACTGTAGGACCATTCACGTTCAGCCACTGTTGGACCCACAGAGGTGAACTTGCCCAGGTGGCACATCTAATTAGTGGCATAAGCTTAGTTATAAACCTGAGCTGCCTGCTTAGAAATCAAGTACTCTTCTCCGGACACCCCCCCACCCCCAACACAGATGAAACAACATGAAAGGAGCTAGTCATCACATGCTCACAGAAGACAGAAGTTTTCAGCATGTGTATGAGATTCAAAGAGTATTTATTTACCAGCACTCAAAATGATGGTTAGAAATCGTATTTGTAGCTCCAGAGTCCAACACACAGACTTCTTTATACTGGAGGGACTGAGAAAAAGTAATAGTGTGGAAGAGGAAAAAACACGATGGCAGGTTTTTCTTTCTCTTGGCTACTCATGAGAATGACAGAATGTGATGTCAGAGGGATAACGCTAATGGCTAATTCCCTTGGAATGAGAAAGATAAAAAATGAGTTTAGGTGATCCTACTTTGGGGATCCAATTCCCCATTCCCCAACCATTCAGAAGAGAAATCCACAGAGATATGTTTAACATACCTACTGCATGTTAAATTTACATTATAAATTCCTATTTCTGTATTTTTCTCTATACATAAAGAATGGTTGCTAAGCAATGAAATATTTTCATTTATACAAACTAAGTACAAGTATACAACTACAAAGCTTCAGTAATTGTTTCTATAGATTAAAGTCTAGAACAGGATTAAGCTCAACCAACTTAGCAACTAAAACTAGGTAACCAAGCTTCTCGACCCCTTCATCCTTCTTGTTCTTTCCCTGACTCTGATCTCCATGGGAAGCCAAGAATGGCAACCAAAATTGACGAGTTGCTCTGCAGTATTACTCCATTTATACAAAGCAGGAATAGCCCTATCTGCATGATTAGTCTATGTGCAGAAGCCACTATATATAGTTATTTATTATTTGGTAAATAGGAAGGTTTTTCTAGTAAAATTTTGAAAATTGCTTGTAACTCACATTATTTGTTCCTAAATGTAGTTTTTTTCATCCAATTTTCTTTTTTAATGGGTTCTGCGCAAAAATTTCTGGGTAGGATTAAGTTGGTTTTTTTTGACGGGGAGTGGGATTCAAATAATTGGTGTTTGGAATTTCCGTTCACTACAGGGAACTGTATTGAAATTTTGTGTGTATGTGTAGTGTGGAGGGGAAGTGGTGTTAAATGCCTAATTTGATTATTGGTTATTTTAACCTGCCCTTTGATAGGTCAAATCAGGTAAAATTTAGCACACTGCCAACATTCAGAAATAAAACCTCTGTCCCTAAAGATCAGTATGAAACTGTTTTTTCTCTTAAAAGCTCTTGCTTATAAAATAGGAAATCAGATTTGAAATTTCTTCATTAAGCTGAGTTATTCCGCAGAAAGAAGGAAAGAAGTCCATATGCTTTCCTCTACCTCTTCTATAACAATCTTCTGTTAAAAATTAATTCTACTAGTATAAATTATTACTAGCAAATACAATTGCTTATTCAAAATACAGAACATCACAAGTTTGTAATACTTTAAACTGCACGAAGACTTTTGGGACAACCTTGTATTTCTGTTTAGCACTTTTGCCATTAATCTGTCAATCTTAAACTGCAGTTATAATTTTGTTTGTTTGTTTGCTAGGCAATGGGGTTAAGCGACTTGACCCGGGTCACACAGCTAGTGAGTGTTATGTTTCTGAGGCCGGATTTGAACTCAGGTCCTCCTGAATCCAGGGCCGGTGCTCTATCACTGCGCCACCTAGCTGCCCCTGCAGTTACAATTTTTAAAAAAGATATGGTAACTCTTTTTTGTGGTCTTTGTGATAGTTCCACTCTTGTACCTCACACACGTCTCTAAGTTTTTTTTTCTTCCCACTGTAAATTTGTATGGTTTTGCTTCTACCTACTCACCTTCTCTATTAAGTTCTTGGCAGCCTTCAACACTTCCTACATAACTCTAACTGACCCTGGAAATGGAGTGAATCACAGTCAAAATGTTTTTCTGAGTAGATCTAAGAAGAGTGGAGTTGAGAGCAGTCTTCTGGTCAGGCTGAATATTTTAAGCAATAAAGGAGATGAGGCAAAGTAGTTGGTTGGAAGAGACAGGCAACAATAGTTTAACAATTTTGGGGTAAGTATCCTGGATATAATAAATCTTTACACAAACCCTACCCGAACTATCATTCATACCAAAGCATTTGTATCATTCAAGTAAACCACCTCTAGGCAACACATAAAAGCAATTATGTTCCAAATGTGATGAATTTATTTTACTCTGATGCAAAACCAAAGCTTTCACTATAGCACAGAGACCAATTTGATAAAAGGTCATGAAAAAGTGGTGTAGGACATGCAGGACATGATGTACAAACTGGAGGATCGGGTCATTTCCTTTATAACATGACACTACACTGTTGTTGAAGAACAAATTTAAAGTAACACTGAGAAACTGAACTGAAATGTGGCACAAACATTACAACTTCCATGCATGCCTTCAAGTATCTCTTTCTTATAATAGACTCAAAAACCTCTAGACTTCAGTGTGGTGGCGCTACAACAATTCTTTGGAAGAATAAAAAGTTCACATTGTTGAAATTTCACAGAAGAATATTAAGGCCAAAACAGAGTGGGTTCATTTCTCTTCATTTCCAGGAATAGATTTGATACTTTACTAAAATCTATATTAAGCTTCCAATTCAAATCCTAACCCAACCTTGTGACCTCCTGCATTGAAGTTTTTCCCATCAATTAAAGCTGAAAGCGTCAATTTTACACCTACAAAGAAAAAAAAAATCCATCATCACATTATTACTGAAAAAAAAAATCTAAATTTTAAACAAGTGCATTCCAGACCTTACCTATGATCACCTACTTAATTCAGTAATCTGATTAATGGTATGATTGGGAAAAAAAAAATTGCGATTTATAAAAATTTATGGTTTATAATCAGACATTATAAGCTCTGGTGTGTGAACAATACCAAAATCAGGATTTTTATAATAAAAACATTTTTCTTTTTGTTTTAATAATTACTACTGATTAATTTATTCCAGCCTTACAATGAAAATCTGTTTTGTTATTCCATCCCCCATCTTCCTTCCATTAACATCATCTTTGCTTACCTGCTCGGAGTGTCTGAGTATAACCAAGTCCAATAAGGCTGGCATTATTCACTTTACCCTAAAATTAGGAGACACAGGAGTTACTTCACATGGAGGTAATCATCACTAGTAGGTTCTACCTATACTCTCCAAATATCAGAAGCATCTTAGGATACAATTGATAACTACTGTATTAAAAGCTTGAGATAAAAGGGTTAATTTCTATGACATCATTTAAATTATTCCTAGGATACTACTATAATAGTGGTTCCTAGAGTCATCCAGAAGTCGGTTCCAAGATTTAAAATCTTTATGATTAAAGATATTTTTTCCTGACAGCTATTTTGACATTACCTTAATTTTATAGTAGCTACTCAATAAATATATGGTGACTCGATTACTGCTACTTATAGTTCCCAGACAATTTTTATCTTTTTTTTACGGATTCAAATTTTTTGAACCTGATAAAGCAATCTTAATTTATGCTTAAAAGCAGATGAGAATATACTATAATATTATATTGAATACCTCACTAAAAATGTTAAGATTCTAATTAGTATAATAAAGTACTTTTTAGAACACTGACATTCATTCAAAAAAATATTTACCACATACCTAATGTATGGGTACCATGTCTTGTTCGGTGAATTTATCTATTATCTACTATGAGCAAAAAATAAAACATCATGATACTGTAAAAATGGTACTAGACTATGAGTTAAAAGAACTTGATTTAAGACCGCGCTCTGCCATTTACTAGCTATATCACATTGGACAAGATATTTAGATTCTCTAAACCTATTTCCTTGTCTGTAAAGTAACAGTAATTTTATCCATCCTGCCTCCTTTATCAAGACTGTTAAGAAAGACATGTATGTAAAAATGTTTTAAATGTTTTATTATGAATCAGTATAGAAACATAAGATATTATAATTACTATTGAGAGGTTACCAAGTGACCTAAAATAGCAGTTCTCAACATGAGGCTCATAGACCCTTTGGGGATTAATCCATGAGGTCAAAATTTTCACAATATTTGTTTTTCAGTCGTGTCCCACTCTTTGTGACCCCCTTGGGATTTTGTTTGCAGAGATCCTGGAATGGTTTGCCATTTCCTTCCCCAGCTCATCTTACAGATGAGGAAACTGAGGCAATCAGGGTTAAGTGCCTTGCCCAGGGTCAGAGAGCTTCTAAGTGTCTGAGGCTAGATCTGAACTCAGGAAGAGGAGTCTTCCTGACTCCAGGCCCAGCACTCTATCCATTGTACCATCTTCCTGACTTATCATAATAATACTAAGATGTTATTTGCCTATTAAAATACTCCTCCTTTTTCCAACTATACATCTGTGTGATGCTGGATCATATACTTCTACTAGAATAACACATCACAGCAGATAAAACAGTCTAGTCTCTCTTCTTTTAAGCCAGACATTAAAGAGATTTACAAATATATACAGAACAATGCCACTTCTCACTACTTTCTTTAGTTTGGAAAATAGTGAAAAAAAAAATATGTTAAACATGTAATGCTGTTTTTAAAATGAATATTTTGAAAATTTATCACTTTTAATTTCTAATGCCATATAGATAGATGTAACTCACATAAACAAAACCAGTTTGGGGTCCTCAGTAATTTTTAAAAGCATAAAAGGGTCCTGAGACCCAAAAATTTGAGAACTGCTGACCTAGAAGCACGAAGTTTCCAAAGCATTAACTTTTATGCAGGGTATATACTTTGTAAAACCTGGCTATCCAATTACTCAAGTAATAAGCACAAATCAAACTAATTCACATAAAAAAAAATTTTGGACCACAGACCTGGGATTTCATTGGCACAGGGAATTCTCTCCACCAATGCATACTAGTACCTGTACAATTTAGTCTTAGAGAGTTGCCTGTGGCACTGAGGGGTTAAATAACTTGGCCAGGGTCACACAGGCAGCATATATCAGAGACCAAGACTTGAACCCAATTTCTCCCTGATTCTGAGTGGATTTCTATCCACTGTGCCATGATGCCTTCTTGAGAGAAAGAGAAGTCTCAATACTTATAAAACTTGAATTATAGATTTTTTAAAAAGAAAGACAGTTTTATTATTTTCACATACACATATGTACATATACATGAACTAACTACTGACAAAACACTGCCAATTGGAGGTGCTACCAGGCCTGCTTTAATGAAAGTAAAGATGAAAAAGTAAAGTAAATCCTTCAAAATAATTTTTTCTAAGATGCCATATAAGATAAATAACTGTCCCAATTGTATCGAGTTAGTATGTGAATTAGTAAAGTCTTAATGATGTTTCACTGTACATGGTATACACCATACACTGCAAAATTTTTGATTCACCATTTGGTATTTAAAGCAAATTACTTAAATCTGGCTGTGCTTCAGTTTCTTCATCTTTAACATGGGGAAGATGGCATGTGCCCTGACAAAAGACAACATATGAAATGAGATAATCGGCAGCTAATTGGTATAGTGAATATTGTGTTGCACCAGGAGTGAGGAAGAACCAAGTTCAAATCTGACCGAAGGCACTAACTATGTGACTTTTGAGTGAATCACTTAATCTCTGCCTCTGTTTCCTCATCTTTAAAATAGGGATAATAACATCACATACTTTCCCAGTTATAAAGACAAAACGAGATTAAGGTTTGCAAAGTGCTTTACAAATACTAAGTGCTATATAAATGCTAGCTACTATTATTATTATATATGAAATGCTTTGTAACTTTAAAATGCTAGAAATGTAAGCAATTATCACGCCTATTACTGAAAGCTATCTTGCCACAAAATAGTAGCAATAGTAATAAGTCTCACTTATCACAGAGAACTAGAGAATTTTAGAATTCAAAAGAGCCTAAGGAATCAAAATTCAAACTCTCATTTTACAAAGGAGTAAATTAAGGCCCAGAGAGGGAAAACAACCTGCCCAAGGTCACAAAGCTAATCAGTGGCAGAACAGTAAATTAATACTCAGGTGTCCTGACTTTCACATAAAACAAACAAAACTTGTGGGTGAAAATTCAAGAGCAGAATGCCATTGGGGCATCCATTCTTACAGATAGAGAAGTTTTTGGATCCAGCTTGTACTTAGCAGCTATGCCAAAACGGGTGTTGTTACTGCCAGCTGTCCAGGCAAGATTTATTGACGTTTCAATTTTCTCATTAACCTTTTGGTAGATTGACCCTCCAAATTCAGTGCCATCATTCCTGTATTTACAATACAGAGAAAAGATATAAAAATCCAGTCTTGCTTAGGTTTTCTTACATGATTAAGAAACAAATACTTATAAATTTGGACCCCATTTTACAACTTCTTATATAAATGAATGACTCCTAAACTGAACTTAAACCTAACTCAGATATTAATAAATGAGCTAAAATTGTCTATGCTGTCGCTCAAATGAGGAGCAGGTAATTTAAGGTGTCTAAGCATCACATAAAATTTGCATGTAGCATTTCCCAGACAATTCAACTGTGTCCAAAAGAAAACAGGTTCTATCTATTGAATTTTCCTAGAATCCACAGACTCTGAGAATTGAGGTTCATGGCAGACAACTGACAATAAATAATACAATCAAAAGGTAAAAGCACAACATTAAAAGAAATAGTATTCAATATTCTCCATAGTCTGGCTCCAACTTAAGCTTTTCTCTTAGATTTCTCATTATATTCCATTTCACACACACTGCACAGAAACTGGTCACTATTTCCTAAATACGTACTTTTCCTCACGCTGCTCACTACTCCACATCCAATATACCAAGTGACAATAACTTTAATTGTTCCATTCTGGCATCTAATAGCAATAATGAACTATCAATACTCACACATGTGTGTGCAGTTGGAAGTCAACAGCCTTATAACCCAAGGCAAAATTATTCTGAGACAGTTTGGATTTAGCCGTGTCAAAACTCATCTGATAGCCAGCGAGCCATCCTTCGTAAGCCAATACAGCCCAGCCATAGATGGTGGGTCCAGAGAAATCAATGTCAACATTTCCACCAAGACTGAAACAGTCCCGCTTATAGGAGGCCTTTAATTTCCCACTCTTCTTTCTGTAAAGAGAAACATTTAATTTTATTCTTCCCAGTTACAATAACTGTTTAGTTGGTAACCCTAATCATAGATCTTTATAGCATCAGACCCCAAAATGAAAGTTTCCTTTAATGATATGCACTACATATAAAAAACTGTTATAAACATCTTAGTAACATAAATATAATTTATTAGTAATAAGAACTTGTGACATTTTTTAACACCTACTCCTTAGTGTAGGTACAAATGATGGGCCATTATTACCATTATTACCAATTTCACAGATATAAGGGACTGAGAAGCTATTCTGGTGAATCCATTTATAAATCACAATTGCATGTACTGAAACAAGAGACCAATATTATTTCAAGATATTTTAGGATACATGTCAGATTCCAAACTTCTTTAAAAGTCTTCCAAATGCCACAAAGGTAACGCTTTTAAGCATTTTAAAGTTATTAATCTATAACGAAGTTATTTAGTTCACACAAATAAGCATGTCCCTATTCTAGAGCTCTACAGATTTATCTAACTCTAGTCATTCCCTTTGAGCATAAATGGAAGAGTATATAAGAACTTTATCTGGTATTACAGCTGCTATATTTATTTTAGCACCTTTCTCCGTGGATTACTGTCTTTGCCTATTTACCATTCAATTGATTTTCTTTTAACTTAAAAAAAATTCTAAAATCAAATGTCAAATAAAATGACCATTTCCAAATACAAATTAGAAGAGAAAGTGGATTTTATGCCTACACTTCTCTGGACTTGCTTCTCTTTTGTGCATTTTTAAAAGTGTTTCAGTAATTTTCATCTCCTCTTTTTTGTAATGCTATCACTAGCCCCCCACTACTCCCACTTCCCCTCCCCAAACTGAAATTTAGAAAAAAAAAAAAAAAAAAAAAAGGAAAAGAAAAGCAGAACTCTTACAACAAATGTGCATACCCATACAAAACAAATTTCCACAATGGCTATGTCAGAAAAACATATGTCTGCTCCTTCAGTCTATCACCTTTCTCTCAGGAAGCTATCCAATTCATTCTCACAGCACACCAGTTCAACATGTAGAGAGCAACAGTATTCCCAAATTACACATGAGAATACTGAGACACAGTGAAGCTTTCTCAATTTCAGAGAACAAATTAGTGGCATAAATTGGAACCAAATCCTGGTTTCCTAACAGTCTAGTTCTTTGGTCATTAGATCATGCTACCTCCTTAATAAACAATTTTCCTGTTAAAGAAACTAATTATAATGAATAAATGAAAGCACTAAGTGTTTACTATGTGTAATGCAGTAAGGATGCAAATAAAAAAACAAGACAGACCCTGCTCTCAATTCTGTATCAAGAGAACACACATATGAACTTTCTTTTTCAGGTCTTCAGTAACTTCTACATTTGTGGGGGCCCATACTTGTGATTTCGTTGGTAAAAAGAATTCCCAGTAAGGAAACACCCTACTAGTGCAGATCAGCAATTAATAATCTTAAAGTGTTGCCAGAGGGCACTGAGGGTTTAACTTGCCTAGGGTCACACAGCTAGTAGGTGTCAGAGGCAGCACTTGAACTTGGGTCTTGCCACCTCAAAGACAGGACTCTATCCATTACACTATTCTGTTTAACTTTCAAGAATACAGTATGGGAAAATAGCTATGTAGTGTTAGACTACCATGCATCATAAACATTTTCTACCAACTACCCCACCCCCACTTTGGCATTTTAACAAATTTGTGATCCACTTTTCAATTTTCATATTCCAAGTTCTCAAGTCCCATAATTTCTTTATCCTTAACATATCCTCCATATTATCTCCTCCAATCTATAATCTCTTTCAAGTTATATGCCTATTTTCCTATGTCCTCTTGACCACAAAGGACGCTTTATAAAATCATGAGCATATAATTACCCTGTGTTTGGTACAAATATGGTGTCAAGAGTCACCTTCAAACCTTCAGCCAACTGAAAAAGATAGAAACATTTAATATTACCAAAACTTAGTACTCAAGCCAATTTTAAGCACCTTTTAATTTTATGTTTAAGGAGAAGAGAATTCACAATACAAAATCTATTACAACACTACCTATCAAAGCATTTTCCTCAACAAAGTTCTCTACCCTTCCCAACAAAGACGACCAAATCCCAATAAAACAAATATTATTAGGATAAAAATCTTTCTATAACAAATTTTTTTAAAAGTTGGTGGCCCAAGAATTTCAAGAATCTTTAAAGGACTACAGTTCTAGTGTTAAAAATTAATTTTGGACATCTTATTCTAACATTTAAATGTTACACTAACATTTAAGTCAACATAAGGAAATATTTACAAATTTCATAAATGCCTTTTTATAGATAGTGAAATAGTACCCTACATACATCTGGCACTGAATTAATATCTGACATAAATAATCTAATAGAATTTTTCTGAAATGTTAATCCAGATCTAGTCAAGGTCTAGAATGGAATGGTACTACACTTCATAATGAAGAAATAATGAAATAGTTAACACTGCACAGCACAGTTGTCAAACCTAAGTGCTGAAACAGATTAAAATGTAATAAAAATACAATACAACATAGATAAGGTTAATTTGAGGTTTTCTAAGTCATTATGCTGCCCCATTTCTATCTGAGTTTGATGCCATAAAGGGTGTTTCTTTACATCATTGAACAATTCTCACTCCCTTTATAAAAGATCATGGTAGGATAAATTTGTATGGACAGAGAAGAAGAGAATAAACTAGACTAGTTACAATACGCTATTAAGAACACATTTTCTGGTTTCATCAACACTCAATTTGCAAAATATACTTATACTTCAATACTAAACTTCTACCCTCTTCTCTTACTTTATCCTCCATGCTGATTTCTGTCCCCAGGGTATTGTCTGTGTTCCATTTTTGAACGAAGGTAAGCCCATAGTCACAGATCTTGTACTTCGTTTCCAAATTACCCGAAGCTTTACCTGTGTCAGTGTATGAATGACCAGATGTAGAAAATTCCTGTGAAAATGAGAAATCAGATAACAATTTCAGAATTAACATGTCAAATTAAACTAATTTTAAAAAGTTAATGCTTTCTAATCTACTACACTGCTCAAAACTATAAAAGTTCACCATTTACATAGCCCCAACACCTAGAATGAGTTTCTGTAGCAACTTTAACCTCCAAATTTCCTTTATCTTTTTTTTTTTTTGCAAATGTTGAATATTTTAATAATTTCTAGATACCCTTCAATCATTAGGGTTCTCTAACACTCATTTTTTTGGCCTCCTACATAACAGTACTATACAAAACTATTTAAGTATAAAGACTGTCTTCAATACTTATATTAGCTTTATGCTTAGTTGTTACTCAATATTTACTGAATGAAAAGTTACTCCAAAATAAGAAATCAACATCATCTTAAAACACTTACATTTTTTATTTATTTTTATTTGTTTGGTGAGGCAATTAGAGCTAAGTGACTTGCCCCGAGTCACACAGCTAGTGAGTGTTATGTGTCTGAGGCTGTATCTGAACTCAGATTCTCCTGACTTGAGGGCTGGTGCTCCATCCACTGTACCACCTAGCTGTCCCAACACACTTAAATTTTTGACATTTAGGTCAAACCCTTAGTTCTAAGATGTTGAAAGAAATTAGTTTTTCCCTAATTCTTTGTTCTATTAACTAGCTCACCATTTCATAGTGAAATTCGCAGTAATTCATGTGACTCTTAAATGAAAATGATTACCTAGTTCTATATTATGCCTCTCAAACTACCATTAATAAGAGTAGAATAATTAGTTTTTTTATGGTCTGAATTCTAATGATTGTTTTAGAAATTATAATTTGCAGTATTTATAGTATCCTCAATCAACTGTAATGAAAAGCATCTGCCCTATTCTTCACCTGAAAATATCAGCTGAATAGTCAAAATTTATCACCATTAATATGTAAACTATCAGGAACAAAATGCTGATTGGTATTCTTAAGGCAAACAATTCAAAAGTACTGTCAGTTCTCTATGGTACCATTTCACAGTTCTCATAGGTTTGCTTCCTCCAATTAGCAAACACCCTGCCATCTAATGCTAGTTAAACAGACTATGTTAGAGAAACATGACTAGACAGTTATGATATACTTATCAACACAAAGCAGACTTTTAGAGGAAAAGTCCATGAAGCTCAGTTAGCTCAAACGCTAGTTAAAAATTATCACATTTTAATCGTATTGACATTGCACAAAGTTCTTTTAATGGGATAATCCTATTTTTCCACTGGTTACTAGCATAAAGTATTTCAGTTTAGTGACAAAAAATCTGAAATCTTGGTGACAATGACAACTACAATAATGAATATAAAAATGATTACATTGTCAAGGAAATTTCAGCTATAATGTATCAAGATAAATTGCTCCTATCTTCCAAATTCCATTACTTCTGGTTATTTCTCATTTAGAAGTATCATAGATCTAAGAAAGCTGTGGTTCATATAGTACATGAGTTTTAAACATGTTGAATTATAGACACAAAATTAAGTTTTTGTATAACTACCTAATAATGTTTTACACTAGTAAAATATTAGTGGCATGCTTAAAAAATATGCTAGGCATTTTACAACTCTATATTACATGCTAGTTAGCAATACCAATCACAAAAAATATTATTGCAACACAGATGGGTTGTTTGTATGATGAAAATATTACAATATCATTTTCCACGTCTGGAAAATGAAAAGGATGTCATTCTGTTTTGGAATTTTGATAGCTGTGATGAAAAAAGCTTATTACCAGACCAAAAACATACATAAGGAATAAAAAAGCAAGCACATAAGCACACTCTTTATTCTTACCAGCTGGATGAATAATCCCAAACCACAGCAGCATGAAAAGATAAATTTTTAAAGTTTTGTGATTTTTCTGAACATGAAAGCTACTTCTTTAGGTTCCCATATACCTTTTAAAAATATCATTATTATTTAATACAAAATCTTACACAGCTTTTAAAAAAAGAAAAATCCAAATGGAAAAACAATGATATTCTCTATATAAGAGGCTTCCTCTAAAAGGGCAAATAAATAAAATGTTCATGAATACATGCTATCCCTACGAAGCAGGTATTCATCCTTATTTAACAAATAGAAATACTGAGACATAGAATGGCAATGCCAATACAAGATCAGAGTTAGTGCCAAAGCCACTGATAGAAGAACACAAATCTTTCAATTCTAATCTTCTATTCTAACCACATCATAATGTCCCAAAATGATGGCTGCAGTGATTTACAAAGGTCCTGAAGGACATGCAAGAGATGATGCCAGCGACAATAAAACAAAAAGGTAGACTGGAAATTGTTTATACTTCCTGGACCTCTCTTGAATGAAATTAATGGCTAAGGTGCCCCTGAAAGTAAACCAACAAAACCCTATGTTCATGATTTCCAATAAAAAGCTTTTAAGAGCATCCATTAAAGCCTAGTCTGGGCTTGTGTTTTATTTTGTCAATTAATCAACAAAGGATTAGAGAGACAATAATGAATCAGTTTGTGAAAGTGAAGGAGACTAAAACTTTAATGGAGTGTATAAGTAAATTCTAAATTTTCAGTAAAATTAAAAATAGACATATTCATATGACTTTGGTCCTGGGATAGATACCTACCATCTGTCTTTACCTTTGACAGATTCAAAAAGCTCTTTTAAAAATATGACGTATATTCAAAGAAAAAATTTGCTCTCTTTATCCCTATGCTTAATTGTCTAAATAGGGCTGCTGGCTTTAGGAGAGAAATAGTTATCTTGGAAAAAAATTTTGTAGCAGGTTTCTTTGATAAAAATTTAATTTCACACATATATGTATACATACATAATACATACACATACAATACACATATACATACACACATATGTAAAACAAATTCAAGTTTATAAGAATAAGAATCATTCTCCAATTGATAAATGGTTAAAAGATACTAAAAGGCAACTCCTAAATGATGATATACAAGCTATCAACTGCTATATGTGTGAAAATATGCTCCAAATCACTAATGATAGAGAAATGCAAACTAAAGGAACTCTGAAACTCCACACCACACCCATCATATTGACAAAGATACACAATGACAGATGTTAGAGTGGCTATGGGAAAACAGGCATATTAATGCACTATGGAACTATGAACTGGCATAGCCATTTTGGAACTATGCCCAAAAAGTCACTAAACTATGCATATCTTCTGACTTAGTGATATTTCTACTAGGCCCAAATCCCAGTAAGAGCAAAGAAAATGAATCCATTTAGAGCAGTTCTTTTTTGTAGTGGCAAAGAGCTGGAAATGCCCATAAATTGGGAAAATACTGAATAAATTATGAGTGAGATAGAATTGCATAGAGCTCTAAGAAATGATGAAGTGGTTCAGAGAACCTTGGGAAGGCTTGTAGGAACTGATATAGAGTGAAGTGAGCAGAATCAGGAGAATAATTTATAAAATCACAACTTTGTAAAGACAAAACAATTCTGAAAGGCTTAAGATCTTGGATCAATGCAATAACCAACCATAATTCCAGAAGACAGCTAATGGATTCAAGATACAGAATGAGATATGTATTTTTGGACATGGCAAATATGGGAATTTGTTTTGCTTGACTATGCATATTTTTACAAGGTTGTATTTTTCTTTTAAATGAAAGGTAAAATATGGGAGAGAAAATAAATGCTTATTAAATGAAAAATTAAATAGGAATGATCATGGGATCAAGATTATGACTAGGAAAAAAGAGCAAAGTGCACAAAGCACACTGTAACTACCTTAGCTCATTCTCTGAAGAAGAACCTAAGTGCTACAGCCTAGAATAAAGAGACAGAATATCCAAAACAAGTGATATTCACCATTAGAAATAGGCATGACTTCTTTTTAAAATTATGTAACTTTAAGGAATTGCAATGAAAGATTTTTTTGAAGAGCCAACAGGAAAAACAAAGTACACATCTATGAAAAATGTGGAAAATGACACAAATCATTAAGTGTTCCTTTAGGCCAACTGCCATTTAAAACCTCAGGTACTCACCACTCCACTGCAAGACTTGGTTCTAAGATCTATTTTAACCATACCAAACCCTGAAATAGAAAAGAGTATCATAATATTAAAAAGGTGAAAGTGAACAATATTTTTTAAATTAGAAGGCATTAAAAAGAGCTATGCATGCTACAATCTAATATGGCTATTATATCTAGGTAACTCCAAGGCAGCTTTACAAGACCAGGAAGAAGAGAATTAGCCTAGTTATTCATAAAGATGAGAAATACTTCTGCCACATTACAAGAGAGAACTGAGCACACTGGAAAACAATTTAGCTGACATGTACCTATACCCAAGCTAAAAATGACAGCTAAGTTTCATAACATTTACTGAATAGTCATAATACATTCAGCAAAGGAAAATAACACCAGCACGATTCAATTTAAAAATATTTTTCAGTCACTGAGATTGCTACATAAATTGTTGCTGTTCAGCCACGTCTGATTCTCTGTGATCTCATCTGGGGTTTTCGTGGCATAGATACTGGAATGGTTTGCCATTCCCTTCTCCAACTCATCTGACAGATGAGGAAACTGATGCCAAGAGAGTTAAGTGACCTGCCCTGGGTTACAAGGCCTGAGGCCAGATTTGAACTCAGGAAAATCAGACTTCCTGATTCTGGGCCTGGCACTCTATCCACTGCTCCAGATAAAGTAATGATTTTGTGTACGTTATTGCTTAGGAAGGGCACTGATAAGCTCGAGGGCAACTAGGATAGTGATGGGTCTTGAACCCATTCTATATGTGGATTGGGTAAAGAAACTGGGGATATCTGGCTTGAAGAAGAAAAGACTGAAAAGGATTATAATGGCTATTTTCAAGTATATCAAAGACTGTCACATGGAAGAGGCATTGCATTTATTCTGCTGGGCCTCAGTGGGCAAAACCCCAAGCAATCATAAGCTGCAAAGAAGCAACTTAATCTTAACGTCATTATAAACTAATAATTAGAATTGTCCAAAAATAGAATGGGCTACCTGGGGATTCCCTCTCAATGGAGGTCTTCAAGCAAAGGCTGGATGACTATTTGCTAGGATTCTTTTTAGGGTATGGGTTAGACTACATGATTACTAAGATCCATTCCAACTCTCAAATTCTATGATTATGGGTAAATATGATATTTATTTACTTGTCAGTCTTCTGCACTGCCTAACAAGAATATTGGTCTAGAACTAGAAATAAAGTAACAAAAGCAAAAAAAGTCTTTCTTAAAATATATTACTTCTCTTAATGAGTATCAGGGCTTTAATATAAATCTACTCTTTATCTCTCTAAATAATATGAAAACAGTTAAAATATTAACATTATTTTATAAGCAAAGGAACTAAAATTCACTAACAGCATACATACCATATCCTTTGTTGAAGACATCTCTGGCAGCCTTTCCTAGGTCACAGTAAGTTGGTGTCTCACACATTTCTTCTAAGAAAAAGAGAAACAAAGAAATAGAATAATTTAACAAAAATAGAATAGTTCTTTCATTACCTTGTCCAATTAAAGGGGTAGTGCTATCTCATTAAGACTTTTAAGAAAAGCAATAAAGTAAAATTAACAACTATCCAGTATCAAAGAGAAGTATTTAAAGCTTGTCTACTATTTAGATATACTGTTTAGATTTCAAAGTTTAACATGACTGAATAAGAAATGAGCAACAAGAAAGATGTTTGCATCCAGACCTGTAATATAATACTAGAAAAAAAAAACTTGATTAACATTCCCACATTCAAATTAAATTTTGTTATCCATTAACTGACACAATTACAAAAGGCTAAAAAAAAATAAAATTCTAGATCACTCTGCTGTTTATAATGGAGCTTTTCCAGATGAGAAAAATAAAAGAGCACTCTCATAATTTATATTCAGAGGTGCTCTTGATGGAATATAAAAGAACTCTCTTCTTTTAAATGCAACCAGATATCTAGACCAATAACGCTTGATGTTTTTCAAACAACGTGCAAAAAACCCCTGTAGATAAAAACCTCTCTTGGAACTGTTATAAAAACTGAGGTAAAAAGTATCTCAGACGCAGAGCAAAATAAGCAGAACCAAGAGAATATACAAAATGACTACATTAAGGTAAATGAAAAGATCACCAAAAGGAAATTTAATCTCAAGTAATGAAAAAGCCAATAAAGGCCTTGGAAAAGAGATAATGAACATACCTCCATGGCAGAAGTGGAAGACTACTAAGAAAGAATATCGTATACATTGTCAGACAAGGTTTCTTTATTGAATGCAGTTGCATAAGTGTTTTTCATTGTCACAAGGGAGAGTTCAACCTTGGGACATAAGGATACAATAAGGGGTAGGAAATGACCGGTATGTAATGACAAAAGACAAATAAATAAAAAGCACAGGAGGGAAACTTTTTATGAACCCTGGAAAGGAAATAACAAACTCAACATAACTTTGCAAATTCAGTTCTTCAAAAAATGAATTATCCTATAATTGAACATCATTCACTAAAAATGGGGTTCTGGAACCAGGCCTAAACACAATAATCTGTATGGTCAAAAACCTTTCTGATCCAAGATAAAAATGGTGCAAAGACAGAGATTAAATCCTTCAAAAGTCCAAAGTGGCTTGACCTTTCACTTTTACTGTGAAATATTCATCACCTGCCATTATGATTTTTGCCAAGTTCTCACACTGCCTTTGTGAGCCTAATGTTCCTCTGCCCTCTTTATATAATAAGAAATCTAGGTTACGTTTCTGACAATCAGATATAAAAGACTAAATCAATCAAATGCAGAACTATTTCACACCATCCCCTTAGTCCAAACTTGTGGTTATTACTAGGAAGCACAGTGCTCCTGAAGGCACAGTCTGGGTACCTGGACTATTTGCATATTCAAGGCAAAATATGTTAAGTGAATGATGCCATTCTTAAACCCAGCCCTCTGCTAGTTATTTAATCTAAACCCATCAAATATTGCAAAAAATGAAAAAATGTTAAAAAAAAAAAGGTTTAGCTGTTCAAAAAAGAGTAACGAAAGACCTCTATCAACATCACTAAATAGTATAAACTTCAATTTTGTCCTGAAATACAAAATTTCTTATTTTACTTCTAGGACAATTTTATTAAAATAAGACCGTACTAGGGTCTTTTTTATGTTGCTATTTTTAGGAGACACTGTCTGACTTAGTCCTACAAAGAGTTTTAGTTTTTCATTCAACTTCAAAACCTCTCCCAAATAGAGCAAATTTCATGATTTAGTTTCTATTTTCTTTACTGATCTCTACTTTGCTTGGTCCAATGTCATTTTTTCCAAATGCTAATTAGTGGCATTTTTTTTAAAACGGTAGGCAAGAAGAATCTGGGGCTCTATGTTGCTAAAGAGTCTGTGATGTTTTATTTATGTTAGCTAAATGAAATATAGCTGTTGAGCTCTGCTATGCACCATGTGCGGGTAGTTATTAGATAAAACTATATAACACATCACCGACTACAGTATTATATTAACTTAGCCGTTCCGGGTTACTCTCTTGGAGTCTGTACTGAGAGCGTCCTGGTTTAGACTTTAAACAACTTATCTATGACGGGGCCCTAGCATTCCAGAAGTACAAACTTTGCTCGAATATTATCATCTTTCCTCTATTAACGGAGCTCGGGCACTAAAACGCGAGGACCCAAGGGCGCCGGCGCGGCCGCGGCTCCTCCCACGGGACCGCAGCGGGGGGTCCGGGTGCCAAGTTCCGGGAGCAGGTGACAACCCCTCCCCCCACCCCGGGCACGCTCCCGGGCACGTTCGGAGGCTCGCGACAGGCGCTCCAGACATTCAGATTGAGGACTACAAGGGGCGGGCTCCCCCTCCCCCCGCTCGCCCGCCCAGTCCTGCCCTGCACCTTCGGCCCTAACACAAAACCCCCTACCCTCGCTCGCTCCCTCACTCCCTCCCTCCCTCACCACTCCCCCATTCCGGCGCTTCCCCGCCCCCCAAGGCGCCGTTCTCACAGTTACAAAGCGTTCTCTTCTCCTCCCCCGTCCATTCCTGCCTCCTCGTCGTATTCCACCCCAATCCCCAGATCCGTTCCCCTAGCCTGGGGCCGGTATGCGTGGCTCGCGAGCCTGCGGCCTGCTCACCTCTAACTGAGCAGCCAGTCTCTCCTCTTCACCAGGGCAAAGCTGAAGGTCTTCTCCACACCGACCCCGCGTGCGCCTGCGCCGAAATCGCTCCCAGAGCGGCGCCTGCGCACGGCGGGAGGCTCGTTCTTCCGCTCCGCCCCGCCCAAGCCGCTCTCCCAACCCCACCCCTGAGCGCTCGCTTCTGCGGCGCCTGCGCTCTGGTTTTCGGGCACCTGCCGAGGGGAGTGCCGGCGCGGCGGGACGTGGTGTGGTGGGGAAAAGGGAGAACTTGAGGTATCCAGGAGGGCGCAAAGCCATCCCGAAAAGGGCCAGACTCTAATCGCTTACCGTGTACACGTGCGCGGGAAGGCTCCCCGACACACAGAGGAGCCGAGGAGCTAGGCGAGCGAGGGAATGGACTCTAGAAAAATGCGACCATCCCTAAATGTGGCTGCTCTCGCGAGAACTGCCGGGGGCGGGACCCCGGTTCTGTTACCAAGGCGAAGGAAGGCGGAGCGCTGCTGCTCCGGAGGGCTCGCCTGGTGCTAGGCACTCTTTGCCAGGTTCGGATCCCGTGTGGCCCTGGGACAGCCATTGCAGTGCTCTGACCCTCGGTCTCCTCCTCTGTAAAATGGAAATGGTGATAATAACCGGCCCACCTCAGGCTTGTTGTGAGGTTCAAGTTCGGGAATATAAAGAGCTTTGCAAACACCTTGAAGGGCTCTATGAATTAGTTGATTTTTTGGGTTTTTTTTTATTATGTATTATTTAGGAATAGCCTGTACCAGGGATGGGAAAATCTGCGGCCTCCAGGCCGCAGGTTCCACACCCCTAGCATAGGGTGTTAGAGCTAGAAGAGATTTTAGAAACCACCTAGTCCAACTCCTTACTTTGTAGGTGAGGAAACTTGAAATTTGTTCTGTGACGTTTGGATTCAGTCAAAGGGCCGCCCTTGAGGACCTAGAGGGCCACGTGTGGCCTCCAGGACGCAGGTTCCCCACCCCTCACCCTGAACCCTTCTGCTTCCATCCTGAGTGGATGCTTTGGACTCCTTAATTTTATGCTTCACCCAGAAATGGTTAAAAATTGAATGATGTAATAATAGTAGCTAACATTTATATAGGGCTTACCACATGCCAGGCACGGCGCTAAGCTCTTTACTATTATTATTTCATTTGATCTTCACAACAACCCTGGGGGGAGGGGGGTGCTATGAGATCAAGTAGAAAAGGATGGTTTGTTTAATGACTGGGAGTGTCTTTGGACCTTCTTACAAGGCCTAATGTTAAAACAGATATGTCTTAAGAAACCTGTGTTCCTATATCATATTATTCATTTAGATTTGGAAGGTATCCAAAAGGTCATTTAGTCTCTTCTATCCAGTCCCCTATTTTATAGATCAAGAAACCAAAGTTCTGAGAAGTTCAGTGTTCTGGCCTAGGCCACCCAGGTAGTAAGATTAGAGACAGGATTGAAGTCCAAGTCCATTAACTCCAAATTACATTTTCTTTGCACTGCATCACATTGCCTTGAAGAAGAGATCTGACCTGGATTGGCCTGAGCCTGCTCTTTATATGATGGAGAACAGAGATTTGGAAATTGTTCCTTTCAACAGCTCTTTCTTCAAAGGCCTCCCTATGAGAGCAATCTCAGCTCACCCATGTGGGCATATTCTCCTTCCCTTATATATTGGAAAAATTCTCCTCTAAGATTTATCTAAAATTTATTTCAAACAATAGCTTGCTAAAATTACAGCCTCAGAATAATTCGGCTTCACTCCCTTTTATACTCTTTCCTCAATCAATCTTCACAAATAGTGGAAATACCAGGAGTCAATTATTTTTCTCCTTAGCTATGTAAATATTCCAACACCTAATCTTAGTGTGTGGGTGACTGAGTTCTCAGGACTTAACAAATTTGGAAGACTTGTCCAAGGATCTAACTAGCTTTGAGGAAACTTAGTCACAGCATCTCATGGAGAAAACTTAACCAAGGTATGTAGAAGTGATCAGATACTTCTTTAAATAGTATTTTTTTTCAATTATATGTAAAGACAATTTTTAACATCAATTTTTTAAATAAAATTTTGAGTTCCAAATTTTCTCTCTTCCTCCTTCCCCTCCCTCCACCCTAAGAAGGTAAGCAATTTGATGTAGGTTATATATGTGCAATCATGTAAAACTTATTTTCATATTAGCCATGTTGTAAAATAAGAAACAGAACAAAAGAAAAAAACTACAAAAAATAAAGTGAAAATTGTATGCTTCGATCTGTATCCAGATTCCATTGGTTCTTTTTCTGGATGTGGATAACGTTTTCCATCATGAGTCTTTTGGAATTGTCTTGTGTCGTATTACTGAGAAGAGCTAAGTCAATCATAGTTGATCATCAAGCAATGTTGCTCTTACTTTGTACAATGTTCTGGTTATGCTTGTTTCACTTTATTTTATGTATTATTGTTAATATATTATATAACATATATTTATATTACATTTATTTATATATATTCATGTAAGTCTTTTCAGATTTTTCTGATCAGGTCCTTCTTGATAAGTGCCTCAAAAATCACATTGCTAGAACAGTTTGAGACTAACCAAGCTGGTGGAATAGAAGAACAAAGTACAGTCTAACCCTTCCAACAGCTATATGAACAAAGATGTCAAACAAGTACAAGATTGAATAGTGATCAGAAATCTAGGAAGAGATCAGGGTGGGTCATCTTTCCAAAACAGGTTCAACCCACAGGCAAATGACCAGGGCAGGAACTCTGGAATAGAGGTGGCTTGAAATCATGGAGCCAGACCCCAGGAACAAAACAGGGAGATTAAGATCTCAGACTCAGGCCCTGGGTGTAGGTGTATTTCTTTAATCCAGGTTAGGCTCACTCTCCTACAAAGAACAGGGCCTCAGCACTCAGGATATGGCCTCATGGCACAGGGGTCCCAGCTTTGTCATTAGGCAATCTAAGACTCAGTTCCCTGGCACAGAGGCCCATGGTGTTGTTGTTCTACCCAAGAGAGGTAATGTCAGAACCATACTTCTGGAGCGGAAGAGTCACAACTCTGACTCTATAACCCAGGAGAGGAGATCTTGGGAGTAGATTCGATTCAAAGTCAGGGCTAAAGCATGGGCCAAAGCATGGTTGCTGTGACCCCAGCAGCAGAACTACAGATAAAATAGGCCAGAGCTATTCAAAGCTGTGACAGTCTCACTAGAAATGAGCAGAGGCTAGCCCTAACACAAAATCCTAATCTGGGAAGTAAAACTGGAAAAATTAGTAAACAAAAAAAGATAAAGCACCATTATGATGACTTAGATATCTAAGTCACAAATTCAGAAGAGGAGAATAATTCTAAAACTGTTTCAAACAAAGGCTCAAAAAAGAAGAAAACACAGTTTGGTCACCAAATCAATAAGAGTCTCTAGAAGACATGAAGTAAGAAGTTTGTTGGTTTTGTTTTTTAAGGCATTTAAAACTTATAAATTAAATGAGAGCACTAAAGGAAAGAATTGAAAAGAAATGAGTTATAGAGAAGAGAGTTGGAAAGTGAGTAAGCACAAGAGGTATAAGACCTTACCCAAATAACAGACCCCTTGAAAATTAGGATGGACTAAACAGAGTTAAGTTAATGACTCTAGGAGAAAAAAAGAAATATTAAGATAAAGTCAAAAGACTGAAAAAATAGAAGAAAACGTAAGGAATCTCATATCAAAAGGCAACTGGCTTGGAAAACTGAACAAGGATAGATAATTTAAGAGTACCAAAAATCCATGACCAAAAAAGGAGTCTGTTTATCATATTTCCAGATATTATGAAAGAAAACTGCCCAGATCAGTTAGAACAAGAAGGCAAAGTGAAAATAGAAAAGAATCCATTAGTTACCTCTTGAAAGAAACTCCAAAGTGAAAACTCTCAGGAGCATCACAAAGTCCAGAGCTTCCAGATCAAAGAAAAAAAATCCTGTAAGTAGCCAGCAAGAACATTCTCAAGTACAAAGGACTATAGTCATGATCACACAAGATTTATCAGCTGCCAGTATTAGAAATTAGAGAGCATGGAATGTAATATTCCAAAAGGCAAAAGACATAGGCCTACAGCCAAAAATAACATACCCAACAAAATCAGTTGTGGTCCTACAGGAGAAAAAAATAGATCTTCAATGAAAGAGAGGACTTCCAAGCATTCCTGATGAAAAGACCAGAGCTGATTGGAAACTTTGAAATATAAATACAGGAGGCACAAGAAACACTAAAAAGTTAAATACAAGGGACCAATAGGAAGAAACTTTATAATAATGAACTGTTCCTGTTCTTTTGGGGGAAGAGAATGATGAAAGGTACCTCTATAACTTTAATGTCACAAGTGGTCATTTTGTTGTTGTTGAGTCATTCAGTTGTATGTGACTATTTGTGGTCCCATGGACTATAGCCATCAGGCCCTTCTATCTTCCACTATCTCTTGATGTCTGTCTAAGCTCATGTGCTTTGCTTCCATAACACTACCTATCCATTTCATCTTCTGCAGTCCCCTTTTCCATTTGCCTTCAATCTTTCCCAACCTTTCAGTGAGTCTTGTCTTCTCATTATGAGGACAAAGTGTTTAAGCTTCAGCTTCAGTATTTGACCTTCCAGTGAATGGTTTGAATTAATTTCTTCAATTATTGATTGATTTGACTTCCTTGTTGTCCAAGGGACTCTCAAAAGTCTTCTCTAGCACCACAGTTTGAAAGCATTCAGCTTGCCTTATAGTCCAACTCTCACAGCCATACATTGATAAAGAAAAAACCATAGTTTTGACTATATGGACCTTTGTTGGCAAGATGTCTCTGTTTTTTAATATGCCATCCAGATTTGCCATACCTTTCCTTCCAAGAACCAAACATCTTTTAATTTCGTGGCTACAATCGCTGTGTGCAGTGATCTTTGAGCCTAAAAATATAAAATCTGACACTGCTTCCATTTCTTCTCCCTCTGTTTGCCAGGAAGTGATGGGATCAGTTGCCAAAATCTTAGTTTTTTTGATGTTAAGCTTCAAGCCAGCTTTTACACTCTCCTCTTTCACCCTCATCAACAGGCTTAATTCTTCTTCACTGTCTGCCCTCAGAGTAGTATTGTCTGAATATCTGAGATTATTGATATTTCTTCTGGCAGCCTTAATTCTGGCTTTTGATTTGTCCAGCCTATCATTTTGCATTATGTACTCTGCATATAAGTTAAATAAAGTGACAATATATACCCTTGCCGTACTCTTTTCCAATCTTAAATCAGTCACTTGTTCCAAGTTTGATTAGTGTAGTCAATGAAGCAGAAGTAGATATTTTTCTGGAACTCCCTTGCTTTCTCTGTAATCCAACAAATACTGGCGATTTTGTCTCTAGTTTCTCTGCCTCTTTGACAACTAGCCTGCTCTTTTGGTATTTCTTGGTTCACATATTGCTGAAGCTTAGCTTGCAGAATC